TTTCCTCCTGTTGCTTGCCTGGTTGTGTAATTGTGTCTCTCTGAGCTTAAGGTTAAGTTGTTATATATACAGATGGAGTTTTTGGGGGACTTAAATGTGTTACCTTTCGAATAAGACCATGCATGCACATACACTAAAAATGGAACAAGAACAGCTTCGGATCGGATCACTGTAAAGGGAGTCACCAGTGTAAAGGAAGGCCATCAGTATATAGCCCTAAGGCGCACCAGAGAACATGAGTGTTAATATTAAGACGTTGGAAAGAACCCTTCCCAGCATCTGCAGGTTACTGTAGCGATAACATCCCAAACTCAGTTAAAGCACAGTCTCCTCGTGACATGACATCATCAGACGTTACATTTTCTTGACCCCCCCCAGTATTATCTCCAGGCCGGCGCCTTGCTGATAAGACTACTCTTAAATGCTCTGCTTCAGTCACAGAAGCTGTCAGTGTATTGGGGACATGCAGACACATGTGCTCCTGGAAACGTTCCAATGGGAGTTACCGATGAAGGTCTGGGGATCAGGATCTTCCTGTTTTTTGGATCATGCCTCACTCTTATGTTTGGAGATCTGTTAGGATCTGCAGCGATTGGAGAGGGCAACTAACACCTCCGCTTCTTCCACTGTCCAGGTATTAAGCTGAGCAGCAAACTGTTGTTGAATTATGGCTCTCTCTTTTGTGTTCACCGATAAGGTTTCTGTAGTTGATGTTAACTTTTAATGTACTATTTAAGTTATAAATGCTGTAAAAAATGCCAGTCAGTATCATAAACCATCAACATAATTTCTTTTTTATTTCAAATCACCTTTTAAATGGTAATTTAATTAGTTTAGATATTTGTTGTAGTAACACTGTAATTTCAGTCTACACCGTATGTATTGTGATGATTATGTTTTAGTTTTTTGTGATATACATCATACATCCAGCTCCCAAAGAAAGTTCAATGTGTATCTACATGTTTTATTGTAACTAAAACTTTACTTTGATAATTTTATTTTTAATAATTGTACAGCAATAATGTTCTTGTTATTACCAGTTATTGCAGTATCAGTACTTTTGCCCTTTTACATGCACTTGTAATAGCTACTAGATGCTGCCCTGTAAAAGCTCAGAATTTAATAGGATAGCTGCAACTTCTTCATTTATGTACATGAAAAAGAGAAGTACGTTTTGAGTCATCACATCCAGTCACTGTGACTGCTGCACCTCAGCTCCTTAGGGTGGGATTTGATTGAAATGCAGATTCATTGCCTCTGATTGGTGGCCATAAATACCGAGGTCAGTCTGTGCATAAATGACACTATGACAGACTGGTATTTTGGGGTCTTGGTCTTTTGGCTTTGACTATGGCCACTTTACATCTATTGAATCATGCTACATACAATATGATAAGTAACAAACTGCTAGCTTAGCTGGCTGGCTGTCACTATGCAGTGACCTTCACAAGCTTATCCATGGGAGATCTTTCTTTGATTGCCTTCATTTAAACTCATAAAGACTGTTTCCTCGAGATGAGTTGAATTTCCAAACTGAAACGTTATGTTTATGTCATAGGGCTCTAGTTTCCCGGCGCAGCGCAGGGTGGTGCAGGGTGGCGAACCCCGCGCAGAGCTAGTTTCGAGCAGTTTGGTAGTTTGGCAGACCAAGGTGCACTGAGATGGGTGTGGCAGCGCAGCAGGGGGAAGTGTCGACAGATCCCAAGACTGTATGGCTGCAGCCTGGAGCCTCTCGTCTCACGACCTCTCCTCACGACCTCTCCTGTGTTAAACATATGACTGCAGCCTGGAACCTCTCGTCTCATGGTTCTCGTATCATGACCTCTCGTCTGGTGATAAAGAAGCCACGCCCCCCGAGCTTCTAAATTTCAGAATAAAAGCTCGCGCCTGACACTATAGTTGTTTTAAACGTAATATTGTATTTTGTAATGTATTTAGGAATCCTGGTTTTCCTGGTAGAAAAGTTGTTTTAAACATATGACTGCAGCCTGGAGCCTCTCGTCTCATGACCTCTCCTATTATATTTTAGGAATCCTGGTTGAAAAGTTGTTTTATACATAGTATTGAATCTTGCCTCGCCTTGCCTCAGTGTTATTGTGTGTCTCAGCTTGCAGGCTCTGTAGATATCTGCCTGGCACTGCTGCTTGTACTGTTCATGTGTTAGTTGACACACACATATGCACACATACATGCACGCACATTCACACTACAGGATAAGCACTTGTTGTAACAATTTCCCTGTGATGTGTGAAAGGAATATATAATACATATATAAAATATATAAATAAAACGAGTCTTTTAAAGAATGCAACTTTTTTTATTTCTTTAGTCAAAACATCCAGACTGCAGCTGGCAGAACTGGCTGCAAAATCCAGGGTGGGGATCCTCAGAACTTCCCACGTCCAACATAACCTGTGGGTATAGCAATAACAAAACAAAAGCATATTCATGTGCATGGTGTTAAGATTTGTTTTTTTGTTGCAGACACAAAGTCATTTTACCTAGTAACATTTGAACATTTGAATTCTGTTAAAAGAACAGTGTGAATACCTGGCATGCAGCTCTTAAATGTGCAGTTGCACTGAGCGCAGTTTTGTACAGAGTACATAACGTTAGGTATTAGCTAAAAAAAAAAAAAGGTAAACGCTAACGTTTCTTCAAATAAAGATGTATGTGTTAACCCAAGGGACACGTAGTATCATCTTACGTTTCAAATGCAACGTTACAAACTATCCGGAGGGTTAAAATTGTAAAGTTAAGAGTTTAACCGTTTTATTTTTTTAAATGGATAGTAAAAAAACTGGTCTCTTTGGGTATTTACCTGTAACGCCGCTGCCATCTTCTTCTTCTTCTTCTCCTCTCGGTTTGATTTATTGGTGGCAAGAGTGTCAAGAAATCGTGAATTTGCATTTTTGACCCTGTAGACTTGCTGTTGTACACGCCCAAGTCATGACACGAGAGGTCATGAGACGAGAGCCATAAGACGAGAGGCTCCAGTCTGCAGCCATTTGGTGCAGTGACAGTTTCGTGCCAAAAGGCTTCGCCGAAGGTGCACTAAAAGCTCACCAGCTGAAACCACGTCCACTGTCAGCGCAGGCGGAGCGCAGCCGGTGTAAGCTGAAGTTTGGCTGACCGGCGGACAGTGTGCACATGTCACCAAAACCTCACAGGCAGGTTTCCAGAATATCAGGCACATTAATAATGCAATAAATACCCACAGGAACCACTATTCAATGCAACTATCTGCAATCAGCACATAAATGTATCTCTATATCGACTGTCCCGTCACATCTGATGTCAGATCAAAGGGGAATGGCACCGTTTGGCACGTTTGGCACACGTAACGGAAACTCAACCTGATTTGATTAACAAAACTAATGAGTTCACATCCCTCTCAGCCAACCACAAACAGCCACAGCATCAGATAGGGAGTATATATCAGGGTTCCTACGCAAGTATGGAAAGTATGGAAATAAATTTGATCAATTTCCAGGTCTTAAAAAGTATGGAAAATGAAAAATAAAGTATGGGGAAAAAAAACGTGTTTCCAGACTATTACCACTGCTCTAAAATAGGGGAGAGCCGCCTTGAATGTAACGCGTCAAGGTTGTAACATGCACGTTTTCTCTTGATTGGTCAATGCGATCATGACGTCATCACGTCAGTATGTGACGAGTATCGTGATACACGTTCCCAGGAAGTTTCAAGTGTTTTCATCCATGCTGCAGGGAGATTTCCGCGGAGAAGCTGGTTTTCCACAAAGTAAGTAAAAATTCACTCCCACAGTATTTTTTGACTACAGATTTTTTATTTAATGTTACAGAGCTAAAATCCGCTTAGGTGTCTGTATGTATATGTTCGTCACTAGTTTGCATCGTTTTAACACGTTATGATTGTTAGGGCCATTCTGTAAACAACGCCAAATGAACGGTGCGCCGAGCGGCCCAGTTGTAACACATGTTATATTTGAGACGATGGCAGAAATTTGCAAGCGCAGCTCAAATAATTCTGCTCTTTGTTTGCTTTTTTGTTTGTTTTACAGAATGTCCCCACAAAGGACCAGAAAAAGGGGCTTGATATCAGCTGATGTGCTAAAGGCAGCATCCAATATGAGGTGTTAAAATGGGGACTGTCTGTGCGAAGAGTGGTCAAAGACTATAAAATGTGTATGGGGGAAATGTTCTGTTGTGTTGGTTTTGTTGTGTAAGTTGTAGGCTGATTTTACTTTGTTCTGTGCCTTATAGCCTAGCAAATGTTTTAATGTGAACACATTTTTTTTAATATTTAATCTTTTTAATCTTTAATCTGACTCTTTCCCCTTGACTGCTGTAACACTGGAATCTCTCAATTGTGGGATCAATAAAGGTATATCTTATCTTATCTTATCTTATCTTATCTTATCTTATCTTTTAATATTTCTGGATGCTGTGTTTATGCACTTTGTTCTGTGTGGCATGTTCTTTACGCCACCGAGGTCAGTTTTACCTTTAAATTGGTAGCTTATTGTTGCAGTTTTACCTTTTAAAAAATGCACTAGATGATGAACTGCACATATTATGATGTTCTTTGCACTGAGATGTAAGCCTAGTCCTACCTTGAAATGTAATAGGCTAACCTATTTGGTTCTGTCTGTAGGCAAATGTAGCCTATTTTGGGTGCACCTTGAATGCACTTCTTTATGCAACTGACATTTTAAGTCGAGTTTTTGCGATAAAACTTTAAAATACAAATAGACTGTTTTTCTATAGCATAGACTGTAAAAAATAAGTGATTTGGGGTGTTGCTACATATTTGACCCTGCAGGGGTCAGTGCAGGTATGAATGGGACTTTTCNGGGGAAAAAAAACGTGTTTCCAGACTATTACCACTGCTCTAAAATAGGGGAGAGCCGCCTTGAATGTAACGCGTCAAGGTTGTAACATGCACGTTTTCTCTTGATTGGTCAATGCGATCATGACGTCATCACGTCAGTATGTGACGAGTATCGTGATACACGTTCCCAGGAAGTTTCAAGTGTTTTCATCCATGCTGCAGGGAGATTTCCGCGGAGAAGCTGGTTTTCCACAAAGTAAGTAAAAATTCACTCCCACAGTATTTTTTGACTACAGATTTTTTATTTAATGTTACAGAGCTAAAATCCGCTTAGGTGTCTGTATGTATATGTTCGTCACTAGTTTGCATCGTTTTAACACGTTATGATTGTTAGGGCCATTCTGTAAACAACGCCAAATGAACGGTGCGCCGAGCGGCCCAGTTGTAACACATGTTATATTTGAGACGATGGCAGAAATTTGCAAGCGCAGCTCAAATAATTCTGCTCTTTGTTTGCTTTTTTGTTTGTTTTACAGAATGTCCCCACAAAGGACCAGAAAAAGGGGCTTGATATCAGCTGATGTGCTAAAGGCAGCATCCAATATGAGGTGTTAAAATGGGGACTGTCTGTGCGAAGAGTGGTCAAAGACTATAAAATGTGTATGGGGGAAATGTTCTGTTGTGTTGGTTTTGTTGTGTAAGTTGTAGGCTGATTTTACTTTGTTCTGTGCCTTATAGCCTAGCAAATGTTTTAATGTGAACACATTTTTTTTAATATTTAATCTTTTTAATCTTTAATCTGACTCTTTCCCCTTGACTGCTGTAACACTGGAATCTCTCAATTGTGGGATCAATAAAGGTATATCTTATCTTATCTTATCTTATCTTATCTTATCTTATCTTTTAATATTTCTGGATGCTGTGTTTATGCACTTTGTTCTGTGTGGCATGTTCTTTACGCCACCGAGGTCAGTTTTACCTTTAAATTGGTAGCTTATTGTTGCAGTTTTACCTTTTAAAAAATGCACTAGATGATGAACTGCACATATTATGATGTTCTTTGCACTGAGATGTAAGCCTAGTCCTACCTTGAAATGTAATAGGCTAACCTATTTGGTTCTGTCTGTAGGCAAATGTAGCCTATTTTGGGTGCACCTTGAATGCACTTCTTTATGCAACTGACATTTTAAGTCGAGTTTTTGCGATAAAACTTTAAAATACAAATAGACTGTTTTTCTATAGCATAGACTGTAAAAAATAAGTGATTTGGGGTGTTGCTACATATTTGACCCTGCAGGGGTCAGTGCAGGTATGAATGGGACTTTTCCAAAACTCATGCACCATATTTGTCAATATTCTGTGCTCAGTCAGATGTCATTCAATTATATTCTAAATCAAATTAGGGTTGTATAACATTGTTACAACTCCATCAGTCAAAGTCGCTAACTTTGTAGGCATAATCAATGCATTTTCCTATCAAAGAATTCACACAAACGCTCCAACTGGTACATCCGGTAAGTTTTAGTAATATACAATATTTTTGATACATTCTTGGTATGAAAGAAACGTTAAACAGTTGCCTGAATGAAATATAATTGATCTGACCTGAAAACGATGAGTTTAATGCTACTTTTTAGCAGTGTTACAATTGTAACTCCTGCTGTTACAATTAAGACTCAAACGCGCTTCAGTTGTAACATCGGACAGAGTCCGCTTTCAGTTTTATTACTCAAGACCTGTTTTATCAATTGAAAAACTTTAAGTGGTGTATGATAGCAGACATGTGTTGGTGCTTTGCCTGAAAATATTACATATGTAGGTAAAACGATCTCTGAGTAATAGAGTGAAAAGTGAAAAACATTACAATTGTGGCGGCTCTCCCCTACTGTTTTCTAAAATAGAAAATTAGGTATTTCCAAAAATAATTGAATCAATCCGGATCGTGTTTTATGCCGGGCCAACCACAGTTTGTGTGAGAACAAACGTCTCAGAAAACATCCCGCCCCTTTTACCTGATTGACAAGTGGTATGTCCAGTCCGCTGCCCCATGACCCTCCTCCAGTCCCCAGGTATCAAGTTTCACTCCAACACTGGTATGGTACTATGGTACTTGGCTATAATCGCCTATTAAGAATAATTAAGTTTAAGTTTATTTACTTTATTAATCCCCCTGAGGGGAAATTCAATGTTTTCACTCTTGCTTGTCAATTACACACAGGTCCGAAAAACACACACATGCACAAACAGGACCTATACATGCACAAAGTGGCGAGATGTCAGAGTGAGGGGGCTGCCATTTGGTCAGGCGCCCGAGCGGTTGGGGTGTTCGGTGCCTTGCTCAAGGGCACCTCGGCAGTGGCCAGGAGGTGAACTCCATATTTGGTCCGGACGGGGACTCGAACAAGCGACCCTCCGGTTCCCAACCCAAGTCCCTATGGACTGAGCTACTGCCGCCCCAGCAAACATGATGTGAAATATGATACACTGATATATTTACTCAGATGCAGCATATTATCTGAAAAAAAAACAAAAAACAAAACACAGAGAAGTCTGGAAATTAGGGTATGGAAAAGTATGGAATTTTGAAATTCCAAATGTGTAGGAACCCTGATATATTCAGCATCTGTCATCTTAGAAAAGTCAAAAGAAAAGAAACAGAGTGAGACTGCGAGAGAGAAAGACAGAGCGCGCGTGCACGAGAGAAACACAACATTGATTTACAATTGTGGTGACCTCCTCCCAGGCTACCTTTGCATCATCAGCCCGTGGAGGTCTGCTCGCAGTTCCGTATATTCAGACACTGCGAGCTTGGACCTCCTGGACCAAAACATCAGCTTCCTCCTGAGAGAAGTTTGGCCGTCTGACGCTGCTGCTCTCTTCTGCCATGGCGAATTGAGTAAACTCTCATTACGCCTTCGCGCGGCGCATTTAAGGGCGAGGAGAGGGGCTCATTTGATTGGTGTGATGTGTGTAAAACCCACTCCACGCCTTCTCTCCTCCCTCTTTCCGACTTGTGCAGGTAGGAGGGACAGAGGTGGGAAAGAGGAGTAGCTGCGCCAGGCGCAC